CCTGGTAACACCGCTGCTGAAGGCCCACCCTGCCCCCACCCTGGTAACACTGCTGCTTCCCCCCACCCTGGTAACACTGCTGCTTCTGCCCCACCCTGCCCCCACCCTGGCTACCAAATTTGCTTTTGCACTTCACATTGTGGCCTTGGAGCGGAGCAGAATCAGGCCAAATCAACCCCCCTTAACACTTCATCCTAATTTAAGCAGTCAGTCTCACTTTAAATGATCCTGCTTTTTATAAATGCGCCTACATTGCATAAATTCTGTTTTTTTTTGTTCATAAAAATGTTGTGTTTTCTGCAGAAAGCACAAAATTCCTTCATCGGGGGCCTTACAGACCTGCATATGATTACGTGATTTCAGCAGCTTTCATTATGAACAGCTGTTCACAGTGACAGCCCATTGTACATAGTCATTAATTGTCCTAATTGCATTTCCTTCAAGGGCTACGTGCTACAAAATGGTACCAGGGGCTAGGCAATAAATCAGGCTCTCTGAATGCTAAGAGCACAAAAGAACAGTTGCAAGACTTTTTAAGACAAGCTCCAAATTGGGGGGAAACTCTCTGCCGAGGAAGACTGAAAACAGTTAGCTGGCAAATATACCTACATCACCTCTTCCCTCAATTCTCTGTCAACATTGTCTACAGTCTCCATCTCCTGCCTTCGGAAGCCATGATTGCCCGATATCTCAGTGAGCATCACTGCCAGCCCCTCTGCCCCGGTTTCCCTCTCAGTCATTTCTCCCTTCCCTCTCACCTTTCTCATGTCCCTCGATCTCCTTGAACAGCGGTACACTAAGGGCGTTTTTCCACCGCACCAGGTACCGTACTTTTGGTACTTTCGGTACTTCCATGAAGTGCCGAAAGTTTGGTACTTCTTTCATGTCGGTTTTCCACTGGCGTAAAAAATGGTACCGGTGCCAAATGACATCATCAGTGACCGCCCCTGACTGACAGCACAAAATTAAAACTAAAAGTTGAGGCTGGAAAATGAGGTTTATTGTTATGACAGCTTCTATCACAGTATAAAGATTTAGTAAAATCCTAATCATGCTGCCATCAATTACATTTACGTAGGTACACTTACTTTGGCTAAGCCGATCAAAGCAGTAAGAATTAACTTACTGCTAATTCAGTCTTTTGAAAGCAAACAAATTATTTAATTATGTTTTTTGATTTTCAAGCGGCATTGTTCGGTGTTTCGCGTGTACCCCATTTCTTCCATGCGGCTTGGTATTATGGTGTTCCCGGCAATTCAGTTTCCTTATGTTTCTCCTGTCTATCAGGAAAT